CCCAAAACCCCAAAACCCCAAAACCCCAGAAGGATAGCATTTAATGGGTAATATAATGAAGGGATTAATATATTTTATTAGTAAATTAACTTAGAGTTAATAAAATAAATCATTATCGAAATGGCTAAAAAACTTAATTATAAAGATAACTTAGTCGACCTAGAAAATCCTGCTGATAATTAGATGCATAGATAATATCTCAATACAATGCCAAGTAAGATATTGAAGATTTCAGTAGAACTAATGAGTATAAATATAGACAGAAAAGAAAGAGGCTTGTATGTTGAGGATGAGCAAGTAGAATAAGATGATGATGACTCAGTGGAAGATGATGAGAATGAAGATTATTAAAATGACTTGTATGAGGACTCGGACTAATAGGAGTTAGCTCACTAAGAGGTAAATCACTTGTAGATTGAAGAGATTAATCATAAGTAGAACTATAAGTCTTAAGAGTAAAGTAAGTAGAGCTAGTCTTTGATAACAAGCTGTGTATAGATATTAAATAACTAGATCAGAAAAGTCAATAAAAGCAAATATAATTGCAGTAGCAACAATAACAAGATTAGGTTGTGGTTGACTTGACAAAATACAAAGGAATATACTACAATGACGACAACAAGAAATTCCAAGATGATGAGACAGGTGCGCACTTTGAGTTTATTGACTTGTGCCACAGATTAGACCAACTACTCAAGTACAGGTAGAAGATTGAAGAAAAAGAAAAATCAATGCAAAAACAAGCAGAATTAAAGAATTAAGCTCCGATATAAATTGAATAAAACAAAAAGCAAATAGCATCTTAAAGCTAAAGAACATACACACAGTTGAAATTCATCGATGATGCCTTGAATTAAGACAGCAGTCAATACGGAGTACCTAGTGAAAACTTTGTCGATGAAACCATAGAGGAAAGAAGACCATTTCTATATGATCAGATCAGCAATTAGAATAAAGCTAAATTTTCTAATTCTCATGTTCCCATTAATTAGCAAAAACAAAAGGACTCAAAGCGTAACAAAGACTCATCTAATTAAAGCAAAAAGCAAAAAGGCCAAATAGTAAAAAGTAATTCAAACGGGACACTCATAGATGATCTTATGAGTGAGCCTTCTAATACTAGATTAATGTTTAAAAATAAGTTCTCAGAGCATGAGTAGCTCTAATTTAACCGTGGACAATCAGCTACACTCACCAATTTTCAATAGATTCAATAGATTAATTAGAATCAGAACTATTAATAGCAATTAAATATGATGTAGTCCCGTAGCACAAAAGAACTAGGCTAAGAACACTATCCATAACAGGAGCATCAAAACTTCTAGCAGCAGTTATAGAGTAATAGTAACGGAAGATACAGCTTGAAAGGAAATAAGGTTGCTATATAAAAAAATGATCAAAATAGTAAAAGGCAAATGGCTGTCAAAGCAGTTAGGACTAACCCTGCCTTAAGCCACTTTATGCAGAAAAATAACGTTGGGAATGTACATCAAGTAATGAATACTAGTAATAGCGGTAAACTTGAAGGTATTCTCAAGTCAAATAGCAGAAATTAGTTGTTAGAGTAGACTAGCAGGTCAAATATATATGGGAATGCCTTGCATTAAAGTAGTATAGTTAAAATAAATGGCTTAGGGACTCAATTATTTGATAAGAAAAAGACATCCCCCAAAAATGCAAAACTTTATCAAATGTCCGGTTCTGATATCAGATCAAGTTTGAAGCCCCAACCTTAAATGACTAAAAGCTTTATTCTGGTGGGAAAGTCTTCTCAGTTGAATGGCAATCAGAATTTTACTTTAAATACTTCAAGACCTTCATAACTAAAGTAAACATAAAGAATTTAGCCAAGCAAAAGCAAAGGTGTTTAACTTAAGACTTATCAAGGAGATTTCACAAGATCCAAATATCAATAACATAGTAGAGCGCTTGAAAGTATTGTTTCTAAATAGAACTTTGATTAGAGCATGCGCTAACTTGCTCAAAGCATTCTAGGATCAAAGGACAATCTTAATGCAAACACTAAGAGTAGAAATACAAATCAGATCTTCTCAACTACAAGCACAAATAATAACTATAACAATGGTATTAATGTCAATAAAACAGGAGGAAGCTAGGGTGCAGTATCTTCGCAAGGAGCGAATACTTAGAAGCATGCAAATTAAGTATCTTCAGTTGAGACTATTCTAGTTACAGCTAAAATGCCACCAAACAATACTCTGAGTAATATGGGCGGATCCAGTTCCTAAGGTAAATCTAGTTCAAGAAACGTCACAAACAAAGGATCAATTGCTGGATTGCCTCAAGGAAATAGTTTGAACATTGAGGCTTAAAGATAAAAAGCAATAAAGTCATCACTCGGTTTAAATAAGACTTCAAAAACAATTGGAGCCCAACACTAATTCAATTAAAGCAATGTGAATAGAATCTAGGGTAAGAGTATCTTTCCAAGTAAAACCACTACCCATATTAAATCTGACTTCACCAATCCTACTGTCAAGTTAGTCAGTAGTTAAAACTTTGGAGGAAGTCCGACTCATCACAACAATCTTGTGAGTAGTATTATTAATGAGAATAGCTAGGGAAGTGCTATTAAGTAAATACTTAAGAATCAGCACAGCAGTAATAGCAACATGCTCTCTTCTTAGGATAAATTACGTAAAAGCATAGGCAAATCAACTGATAAGCGATCATTCATTGGTAAATGAATTAGATATGACTTCTAGAATATCATTTCCAGCTACTCCAACTACTGATTCAATCTCTCCTCAACTTTCTAGTAAATTATTTTCCAGTTTAAGATTTCTTCTTATTTAGTCAATCTTTCGGGGTTTTGGGGTTTTGGGGTTTTGGGG